TTTTTTTATTTTAAATATTATTTGAAACTAATAGGCAATATTTACCAGTTTGTACAATAGTTTACTATTAAATTACAGAAAGTATGCCTCAGAGTTTGGCTTAATACTATTGTATTCTAGGTAAACTTTTGGGCTTATTTTAAAGACTGATGCTTATTTCTTTGGGCAATGTTTGGAAATTTTTTTTTTTTAATAATTCCTTTTCAAATGCCTATATTCTGTTTTCTTCAGGGTCCAAAATGTTGTTAGCCCAAATAAATCGAGATTCTCAGGGAATGACAGAGTTTCCTGGTGGAGGAATGGAAGCTCAGCATGTCACTCTGTGCCTCACGGAAGCAGTAACCGTGGCAGGTGAGCAGTGTTCTTAAAAGGATCCTGTGGGTCCGGAAATACCATTATCTTAAGAGAAAAATGAAGTCTTATAATATTGTTTTTACTTCACAGCTCCTAGTTTACCAGAAGCTGAAGCATTTTTACTTGGTGTATATCCTGAGTTTAAAGGACAGGAAATTTATCTTTTTTAAAAAATTTTGGAAGAATTCTATTTTGATTTTAAATTGTCTTTCCTCTCTTTTTTGTTAGTTCTTAATTTTTTTACTAAGTTACTAAAAATGAAAAATTTCAGTTTATCAGCATGTGTATGTGGTAATAATCTGAAGGAATTTTTTTCCCCTTCAATAGATGGTGACAATTTAGAAAATATGGAAGGTGTGAGCTTGCAAGCAGTAACACTTGCAGATGGTTCTACTGCTTACATACAACACAATTCTAAAGGTATGTGCCTCACGTACAGTACAGCTGAGGGCCAGGATTGGTTTATACCTCAGAGTTAGGAGTACTGAGCAATAGCACCTTTCCAGGCCTTCCTAAAAAATGCCTTTTGTATGGTAATTTTAACTAATTTAAGTTTTGTTTTGACAATTTATAGACTATCTCTAAGATATTTTAAGAATATTGCTGTTAGCCAGAGAGAGGATTGGTGGGAGGAGTGTCCCCAGCCTATTTCAATTAAGCCTTTTTTCTTTTTAACATCAGGTTTATTATTTAGTATTTTTATCAAATATGCATGTGTGATGACCCATCATTTTGCTTGTGTAACACTGCTTAAGAATCAATATTTACTTTAATCCAAGAAATAACTCTGTCCTTAGTTTTTGTGGAAATATACAGAGAACATGTGTACATAAACAATGTCTTACAGCCAGTCCTGGGGATAAAAATAATAATGGCTAGCAAGCTCTGGTGGTCTAGTGGCAAGAAGCTGCACTCCTGTCTGAGAGGTGAGCAGTTCAAATCCACCAGATGCTTTGCTGGAGAAGGAGGAACAATCTCCTCCTGTACCAGTCAAATCTGATTTGACGGTACACACACACACAAATTAAAAAAAAAATTATGGCATAACATACCTCTTTAACTTCTCAGCTTTAATTTCTTCATAGTCAGGATTACTACTGTCCCTTAGGGACTTTGAAAACTCATATAACGTTTCCACTCCTGTAGTCTTCTTGTGAGCCACTCTTCCTCTTCAACTCATCTAAGTAAAAATTGGAGGGGAGGAAGAATGGCTGAGGGAGGATTTTCTGCTTTCTATAGGATCACTGGATGTGTTCTTGAATTGCCTCAGAACATTAAGGAAAGAATCAAGATGAACATGCTCTTAAGTAGTGTATGTTTTTATAGTTGATATCATTTTGAAATTGTATAAAGTTTGACTTTTTGTCCATGCTTACTGTTGGTTTGAATCTTGTGTTTCAGATGGAAAACTCATAGATGGCCAAGTCATTCAGTTGGAAGACGGTTCTGCTGCCTATGTTCAGCATGTCCCCATACCAAAAAGTAGTAAGTATTTAAGATAGCAGTACCAAAACACCCCTTATTGTCCTACTTCACTGTCTTCTGCCTCCAACTCCCTAAACTTGGTCCTAGTCACTTGTAGTCCTCCTGAAAAAAGAGACCAGTAGATGTCAAAGAGAGAGGAGTTTCGGACCATTTAACATAGTTAAAATTTTCTTGGAAAGATAATGGAAAAATTGTTCCTGGATTGCATTCTAATGGTAAATGAGTAAATGTCCTTAGTGAATTTTCCTAATATTTGACCTAAGTCCTAACAGTTCTTTCATCAGCTTTCATCTCTCCTCACCTCTAGATATAGATTCCTAAAATAATAGTATTTGTTATTTTTTACCTTTAAACATTTACTCAAATCAACTTTTCTGAAAATATTTAAATATTCAAGTAAAAGAGGGGGGAAAAGTGAGAGTAAATGTAAGTTGTTTGAATGTGCTTAATGATTTATTGACTTTTGTTGCTAAATGAAGTCATGAGTGGTACTTAGAAGACATGGGATCTAAATGTAAGCATTCTTCTTGAGCAGGGGACAGTTTGCGTCTAGAGGATGGTCAAGCAGTGCAGTTAGAAGATGGGACTACAGCATTTATTCACCATGCCTCCAAAGGTAAGAATGGCTTTGGAAATACGAAATCAGAATAAAGGAGAAGTGGCCATGTGGGAAAAATGAGAACTATTTTTACCTGCTGCTGAAATAAAATCACATAAAAGAAGAATTATTCTTTGAAGTATAAGGTGACAGATTTTGGCATAGTCTAAAGAAAACTTTCAGTTTAATTGATAACAAGTTGGAACAACAAACCTCTGGTTCCTATAATATTTTAATGCTGCTTTTTTTAAACAAAATGCTGCTTTTATAATACGAAATTTACATGGTTTGAAAATTACGTAGTTGATTTCTGCTTCCTTTGTCATTTTATTAGTAAGATCTTGTGCCTATGGTGTTTGTCTTTAATTTTTTTTTTCTATAATTATATTTTATTAATTTTCATAAACATTTACAGAGATTTTGGGCCTCCACTCATTCATTGTTGCACTTCTCTTCCCGTCCAGCCCTCCCCCTCTTTTCTTTTTTTTTT